TTTCCTTCTAAAAATAAAAACAGCAGCATATTCCATATATCTTTTGTACTTTGCTTTTTTCACAAACAAAACATCTCTGAACATATAAAACCACTTCATTCATTCATGATCATAATAATGGCTACACCACATTGTATTATGTAGGAATACCAGGATTTATTTAACCAGGTATCTTTTACTAGGCATTTGGATAGTTTCTAGTCTTTTTTTAAATAAGACAGAGTCTCACTATGCCGCCTTTGGTAGAGTGCTGTGGTGTCACAGTTCACAGCAACCTCAAACTCTTGGGCTTAAGCGATTCTCTTGCCTCAGCCTCCCAAGTAGCTGGGACTACAGGTGCCTGGCACAACACCCAGCTATTTTTTGTTGTAGTTGTCATTGTTGCTTAGCTGGCCTAGGCCAGGCTCGAACCTTCCACCTTGGGTGTATGTGGCTGGTGCCATAACCACTGTGCTACAGGCACTCAGCCAAGTTTCTAGTCTTTTGCTATTATAAACAGTGCTGTAATAAATACTCTTACTGTACTTTGTATATTCTATATGAGTCTATTTATTTATGTGGTAAGTTCCTAGATATGAAATTAAAGATCAAAGTTGTTCTATATTTTCATTTTTGATGGAAACTTCCCAATTTAGCAAATAATTTTTTTAATGTAGCAAAACCTTTCTTGGGTGGCACCTATGGCTCAAAGGAGTAGGGTGCCGGCCCCATATGCTGGAGGTGGCAGGTTCAAACCCAGCCCTGGCCAAAAACTGCAAAAAAAACCCCCAAAAGACAAAAAAAACACCAACTTTCTTTTCAAGGGGAGGAATTATAAAGAAACTAAAGCAGGCTGGGTGCAGTGGCTCACACTTGTAATCCTAACACTTTGGGAGGCTGAGGCAGGTGGTTTGCCCAGCTCAGGAGTTCAAGACCAGTCTGAGCCAGAACAAGACCTGTCTCTAAAAAAAGAAAAAAAGCCAGGCTTTGTGGCAGGTGCCCGTAGTCCCAGCTACTTGGGAGGCTGAGAGAAGAGAATTGGTTAAGCATAAGAGTTTAAAGTTGCTGTGAGCTATGACGTCACAGCACTCTATGGAGGGCAACAAACTAAAACTCTGTCTCAAAAAAAAAAAAAGAAGAAACTAAAGCAAAATCAAACAAATATACCCCCCCCACACACACAAAAACAAAAACCATACTACTAGCCCAGACTTTCAGCCTTGGCCCTATGGACATTCGGGGCCCATCGAGTCTTCATTGCGGATGCACTGGTCAGCACCCTCACTAGCTTCTACTTACTAGATGCCAACAGTGCCCTAACTAGTCATGACAATCAGAAACATCTCCAGACATCACCAAAAGTTCCCTCTGGCTCTGGGTTGAGAACCACTCATTTTAATACAAGCCTTTGCATTTAGAGACTTCTCATTCATTTTTTATTAAAAAAAAAAAAAAAGAGCAAGAGAGACAGGGTCCCACTCTGTCAACCAGGCTGGAGTGCAGTTGTGTGATCATAGCTCACTATAACTTTGAACTCCTGGGGTTAAGCAACCGTCCTGCCTCAGCTTCCTGAATAGCTAGGACCCTAAGTGCATTATAAACACACCCAGCTAATTTTTTAAACTTTTTGTAAAGACAGGATCTTACTCTGTTACCCAGACTTGTCTCAAACTCACAGCCTCAAGTGATCCTTCTACCTTGGCTTCCCTAAGCACTAGGATTACAGGCCTGGCCCACCACATCTGGCAAGATCTCTACATTCTGCATACCTGTATCCAGCTCCTTCAATCCATTTTGCTCAATAAATACCAGTTAATTATACACACACACACACACACACACACACACACACACCCATTTTTCAGGCCCAAAGATGAAAAGCAGCACAGGTAGTGAAAGCAATTTCTACTAAAATATATGGTAGGTGATATATCAGTTCAGGTATAATAGGTATAATAGTTCTTTTGAACTTTTGGGTCTCAGCACATTAGCTATGCATACTGGAACTCCTGCGGTTCCCACTCCACATTGCTGGGGCCCAGTGAGTTGGTTACCTTGTGCTTGCCTGTTATTGTGTCCCAAAGAAAGTGCCACAAGCTCTAGGAGAGGTATTTAAAATGCCTCTTGCTTTGTTTCCACTACCATATTCAGATTATGATATGCTTCTCTGAATGTTTGTCAAAAGGATCCCAGAAAATGAGACATTCCTTTGAGCTACTTTAGTATTTGCCCCGAGTACTCTTATGGGCAGTGAATTGTGCCAGCAAGCCTTTAGGGCTATCACTACTGAAGGCTAAGATAGCCTAGAGCTACAAAGTTGCCCACTCAGGAACTTCAAAGCTTCCCAAGATATAACTGCTTTGACCTTATGACTCCAATGAGCATCATGATCAACACTGCTACTGCAGATAGCAAGCTGTACAATTCTTGTGGCCAATGTGTTTACTGAGATCACCAGCTAAAGCTGGCTGGCATCGTTGCCTGTTGCTAATAACCTTTCTGCCTCCTTCCTGACCTCCTCTCTATCTTTTTTTTTTTTTTGGAGACTGAGTCTTACTTTGTTGCCCCCAGTAGAGTGCCCTGGTGTCATAGCTCCCAGCAACCTCTAATTCGTGGGCGCAAGTGAGTCTCTTCAATCAAGCCTCCTAAGTAGCTGGGACTACAGGCACCCTGCCACAATGCTTGGCTATTTTTAGAGATGGGGTCTCGCTCTAACTCAGGCTGGTCTTGAACTCATGAGCTCAGGTGATCCGCCTATCTGGGCCTCCCAAAGTGCTAGGATTACAGGCATGAGCCTCTCTGCCCGGCCCTGCCCCTCTATTTTAGACCCACTCATGCTTCTGCTTTCACTTGAGGCTGGCCTATGCAGCTCTACCAAGTCATCATACTCTACAGGCAGCAATTCAATATAGCCACATTTAGTTACAATCATAATGAAAATAGTATTAGAATGTTGCCATATTGGTTACACTATAATTTAAGTAAGTTCAATTATATGGCAAGAAAGATTAATGAGGATGACAGTAAAGGGTGGAGAGGGAATAGGAAGAAGAAACAGGGGAAGAAATTTCTAATCAGAAATATGGCAGGCTGGGAGTGGTGGCTCATACCTATAATCCTAGCACTCTGGGAGGCTGAAGTGGGTGGACTGCCTGAGCTCAGGAGTTAAGAGACCAGCCTGAGCAAGAATGAGATTCTGTTGCTATTAAAAATAGAAAAACTAGCTGTGTGTGGTGGTGCTGGGTGTCTGTAGTCCCAGCTGAGGCAAGAGGATCACTTGAGCCTGAGAGTTTGAGGTTGCTGTGAGCTAGGCTGACACCAATCACTCTACCCAGGGCAATGGAATGAGACTCTGTCTCAAAACAAACAAACAAACCAACAAACAAAAACCCAAAAACTCCAAAATTCCAAAGTGTGCCTTAATGTCACCCTCTCCAAAGAAAGGACCAGAAACTTTAGGAGGGGAAGATATTCAGAGGATGTTCTATCAGCATCTACGTATGTCTGAGAAAGAACCACTACACAATGCGGCCGTCAAACTGTGGCTCTTCTTTGTCTAGCTAGAGTGGACCACGATGGCTATTCCATGCTGCCATGCTTTCACAACTCAATGCACTGAACGTGCTGCTTCCTTTGACAGGAACACAACTCCTACCCCTCAATCTTTTGCCTTGCTAGTTATCCTTCTTATCTGAACTTAAGGGCTATTGCTCTGTGAACTATCTCCTGAGAGAACTCCACTCCCCTATAGTCTAAGGTTAGGGTCTTTCCTCTTCGTTCCACAGCACACTGGGCTTGTTGCTACTAAGTCCTTATTTCACTATAGTTGTTCTTTGTTTTTCTTCACTACCCGCCTGTGAGCTCCTTAAGGGCAAGGGCAGTCTTTATTATTCTGTATCTCTATTATCTATCAAGCCTGGTGCAGGGCTCAAAAAGTAATTACTGAACAAACGGATGTAGAACATAATATTTTTACTTTCCTGTTTATTATTCAGCCTATCTAGATCTCAGGTAAATTGACATTCATAAAAAACCCACCTAAAATGAGCTGTGCAATTTCAAAACAGTTATATGTATTAATGAGTCAGTTGAAAATCATGTCTCTAATGTCTTTGTACTTTGGCTTTTTCCCTTTCTTTAACAGAATCACATATAGCATTATTATCAGATATAATTTTATTTCAAATTTTTACTTTTCTGACATCTAATGCAATTAATACCATCAATATAAATGGTAGTCTTATTACACAACAGAATAAATTTTTTTTTTTTAACAGAATAAATTTTAAACTGCTTAAGGCTAGAGACTTTATATCTTTGTATCAAGGCAGATTATTGAGTATTCTCAGCACACCAAGACCCAAAATGGTTCTTCTCATAAATGTAACTAGATATAACTGGATGTTGACAACAGTATAGAAGGGAAAGAGCTCTCACTGGTAAGGCTGGGATAATAAAATGACCAACTTCTAAAAGTGTAGGTTATTACTTCTTGTTATGAAGTACTTTCTGTTCCATGGGAGAAAAGATGCTGTCAGGAAGTAGGATTTTCTGCTGAGTCACCTAATACAATGTCTTCACTGACACTGATGTCCCACTTCAGTGAGATATCTGACTAATTACAGTTCTCAAGGTTCCAAACTAGGACACTAACCACTATGTCAACATCTAAGAAATCAGAAGGCAAATGGAAACAGACTATATAATCTAAAACACTGTTCTCAATTTCTGACAACCTATGTGCCCTCTCTTTATATCACTGGAAATGTGGGAAGAGTTAGGATATTTTTTTCATATGACTGAATCTAGGTATTTACCAAAAGGCCATTAAAATCCTATGTATGTCATTCACCAATCTTCACAATAAATGACTTAATGATGTTAGTGTGCTAGAAAAGCCATAAATGCAACTGAGCTTTTTCCATTTTTATAAATGTTTGAATATAGTGATTACCTTTGTATTTATGAAACTTCACATTTATTAGTAAAATGTTTCAAAGAATTAGTCTCCAGAAGTGTTTAAGAAACACAACTCCATAAATGTGTATAAATATTATGTGCCAAGAAACAAATTTTTAA